TAGATAGCATACATTCCAAACATAATACATACACAACATCCATACATACATACGCGGCCGTCCATAAATGACGTCACGAACCTAGGGGGGGGTTAGACATTTGTGACGATGTGACAACGGGGAGGTGGGGGGGGGTTGAGAAAGGTGACGTCACATCAAAATGCGCAACTTTAAATAAATATAGACAACACGTTCTAGTTAATGAAATAGACTTTTTAATAAATGCTTTCTCCTACAACATCGAAGTGCAGCGCCACATTAAATACGCACTACAATGGCAATAGTTTAAAGCGATTTGACGCATGTTTTATTTTTGGGGGGGAGGGGCAGAGCTTTGTGACGTCATATTTGAGGGGGGGGGGGTCTGACTTTTTGTGACGCCGTGTGACTAGGGGGGGGGTGGTAAGAAATCGTCCAAAATCGCGTGACGTCATTTATGGACGGCCCCTACACAGCATTCACACATACACAACATATATACATGCACAACATATATACATGCACAACATCCATACACACAACATGCATACACACAACATGCACGGGCAAATGTGCGTGCTGCGTGGCTGCTGCGACCCCACGTGGTCACAGCCAGGGATGATCGACGGACAAGGCGCCTGGGTGACTCCTTAACGAATGAACGAATGCCCCTGCCAGGCCACTGACTCGACACGTCTTTGAGCCGAGGCTCGAGTCGTGGTGCTGCGCGTGTCTTGTCGGTGAGATCATTCCCGTGTCGGGACATTTGAGGTACAAGTCAGGTTCAAGTTCAAGTTCATTTATTAGGTATAGCCCTGTGAGCCATTCGGTTCTTGAATCGGGTGCAACCGCAACAAACAAAAAATAAAAACATGAACAAGAAAACATCTTAAAGTGAATATGTGACTATGTGCAAACAGAAAATCCAAGAAAATACAGCAAGATGTTGCAGAAAAAACACCGTACACCAACGCTGTGTGCAAAAATCCCAGTGGGATGCAAGTCAAACAACAACAACAACCACAAGACAACTTAGATTAAGGCCATCAGTCTTACTCCGTACTACAACAAACAAACATGGCCAAACCAAAAAACTTTTCGAAATCACCAAAATAAAGCCATGAAAGCAATGAAACAGTGATCATAGGAACTGTGACGGAATTTTCACAATAAACGACGAGGTGCTGTGGGCATGTCTCAAGAGGAACGTATTGGCCCTCGCAGAGACACTGAGCCAACACCTCTCAGAGCCTGGGTTGGAACCCCGGTGCCTGGATGTCCGTGTCTTTTATATTATTATATGTGGAGATGGATATGTGTGAATGATACCGATGTATTGTCTGCCTGTCCGGTATATTATTTACGGTATATTCTCCACAACGATGATGACGACGATTATTTAGTGTTATGCCCCGGAGTTAGATTGCAATACAAAAAAAGCGACGTGACATGATTACGGGCCCTTGTGAGGGACATAGCGCAGTACAACGTCCCCACATCACCTCTCTGTGGTCAATTCGCTAAGCAAAACACGGCGGTGAGTCAGCAGAGGACGGCTTCCTCCTGCTGCGGTGCATTGTGTGTTGGCAGTGGATAATCGTAACAATTCCATTTATATTCGTGGTTCTTTCGGTAAAGTCACGTAAATAGAAAAAAAATGAAAATAAAATTAAATAAAAATTAAAAAATTTCAATCATGAATTGAAAATAATAAAAGCAGAAAACCCACGACGTTTCGATCGCAACACAAGCGGTCTTCATCAGGTGGAGAGAAAAAAGGGGGCAAGCCTCCAAATGTAACTGCTGATAAGGGCTCCAGAGTGAGTGGGCGGTGGAAAGGGCTGCGCAAGAGACGGGGGGAGAGAGAAGGGGTGGGGCAGAGATAGATCTGAAACACGGCAGGACCAATACTTCTGCCGTAGCTGCCGTAGCTGATCATTACTTTAATGCGGCTGGCTCACATGAAATTGATTTCTCTAAGACGATGGTACTGTGCAAGCCGACTGGCTATCAACAAAGATTGGTTCACCATAGTCCATCCATAAAAACAGACACAATTTCAACCGAGACGACGGTTTTAAACTCAGCAATCATTGGAAATATGTCATCAACCACTTTGGGTCATGTCTTGAATTTGTGTTATCTTGTCAACCTCTACCGTCAGCAGTGTGGATGGGTGTAGCGAGGTGCAATTCCCTCCCACCCACTGCCCCACCCCTTTTCTTATTATTTTCAATTTATTGTTTTAATTTTATTTAAAATGTATCTTATTCTTTATATTTTATTTTGAAAATTTTCTATTTAAGTGACTTTATTGAAAGAACCAAGAATATGAATTCCTGCAGTCACGAAAGTTTAAAGTCAAAATTTTATTCCATTTATATAGCAGATTTTCATCAAGGATCACAAAGCCCTGGACAGGACACAGAAGCAGCAGCAAACACTCAGCATAAACAATAATTATGTTTAAATACATTTTAAGACTCAATTTACTAAAGTAAGTAAAAGTTTAATAAGCGGAGGCGAATAAATAGGGTTAATGACAATTTTATTTGCTGGCCATACTCGCCACTCTCCATGTGGCCACAAGACCTGGGGTGGTCACCTGGGGCCAGTTCGCTTGCACTGTTAGCTGTTGAGTTTTAACTTTAGAAATCTGCTTCTGCAGATGTTTTGCAAATGTTTTTTTTCTTACTTTATAGAGAGTGCGTAAATATCGATACTAGAGAGGTCGATAGTATGTGCATAAACATTCAGTTATGTTTAACGAATGCTTGGGTTAGCTTTTGCTATCCCTAGCAATACTCCATTATACTGGTAGGAACTTCCTGGTTACACCAGCCCACAGGGGATTATTGTGTCCGTCGTGCAGAGAGGGGCTGGGTGGGGAGGGAAGGGCTGGGTGGGGAGGGGAGGGTGGGGAGGGGCCGGGTGGGGAGGGAAGGGCTGGGTGGGGAGGGGAGGGTGGGGAGGAGCTGGGTGAGGATGGTGGGGAGTGGCTGGGTGGGGAGGGTGGGGAGGGGCTGGGTGGGGAGGGTGGAGCTGGGTGGGGGGTGGGAGGGGTGGGGCTGGGTGGGGAGGGGCTAGTCACCCCGTGGTGCCCTTATAAAGACTCAACGTGTAACCTACTCACGCCGGCTTGGGCCCACCCTCACAGTCGGGCATATCTGCGGAATACACCACGCCGCCGTTGACCCTGGCCATTGACCGAACAACCCAACGTTCCTACCAGCTCCCTCCGCAGGAATGTGTTTTTGGCAATTACGTATGTATGTGTAACGACTCAAAGAGACATTTATTTAAAGACTTCCACAATAAGGGACCCGAGACTTCGTGCTTGTCTTCCAGCTTGTGTCTTCCTCCGAACGTCTCCACTCCTTGTGCTCTCTCCTTACATATGCCTCAACCCCCATTCTCGAACCTTCTTGTCCTTTTTTTACCTTTAGCCAATCCCTGTCCGTTCACTCAGTCGGAGGAAGCGCCCCGGGAGAACGAATTTCAAGGCTGGACTCCTCAGCTATATAAACCCTTGTCAAAGCCATCTCTTTGGCATACCTCAGCAACTGTTTTCGCTGTGGTGGTCCCCACCTGATGACGGACGTTTGTGTTGCGCCCGAAACGTCGTGATTTAATTCAGTTGTTTTCGCTTTTTTATTATTTTATTATTATTTTCACCTACGTGACTTTACCAAAAGAACCAAAGAGTATGGAGACACGTGATCTTGGGCCGTTCTCGCTTCTGCAGATGTTTTTAGAGATGCCAGAGAGGTAGATGGTAGATACATACACATTCAAGTAATGTTTGACGCATAGTTGGGTTAGCTTTTGCTGTCCTTAACGTAACCAGTGTGCTTGTGTTACTAAACATTCCTGTGGAGGGAGCTGGTAGGAACGTTGGGTTGCTCGGTCAATGGCAAGGGTCAACGGCGGCGTGGTGTATTCCGCAAATATGGCCGACTGTGAGAGCGGGCATAAGCCGGCATGAGTAGGTTAAACGTTGAGTTTTATAAGGGCACTACGGGGTGACCAGCCCCTCCCCACCCAGTACCACCACTTCCACCTCCACCCAGCCCTTCCTCACCCTCCCATCTTCACCCAACCCCACACCTCCCATTTTTGGATGCACGACGGACGGACACAATAATCCCCTGTGGGCTGGTGGTACCAGGTGGTTCCTACCAGTATAAATGGTGCATATATTCGCAGTGCATTTGCAGTTCTTTAGAAACTCCCCCCTTTTTTGTTGCCCACATAATGCACGAGCTTGATACACGGTGGTTTGGCTGCGGCAGCTCCTTACGATTACAATTTCCCTCCCTTTATCACTGCTAATCCTACATAATATACTAGCATAATATGACTTTGAAAGCCCCCCACCACCTACTACACATTCCACAACAAGTGACTAATCCCATATCTGCATTTGCCATCAATATGCTTAATTCCGCTGTTGATATGTAAACTCCTTTGTCAAGGCACTCTCCTCCCCCGACCCAGCTTAAATATACGCTGCCAAGCTTGGCGGTGTTCATTGGGACGCTGTCTTTCCGACAACTCTGTTTCTTCACCTGAGGACGGCTGCTTGTGTTGTGGCCGAAACGTCGTGAGAATTTGTATTTTATTATGTTTTATTTATATTATTTTATTATTTCCCTTCTACGTGACTTTACCGAAAGAACCAATAAGATGAATCCCTGCAGTCACGAAAGCTTTAAATCGAAATTTAAAGGTAGATGGTAGATACATACACACACATTCAAGTAATGTTTGACGCATGGTTGGGTTAGCTTTTGCTGTCCCTAAGGTAACCAGTGTGCTTGTGTTACTAATAAATGGTGCATATATTCGCACTATAATACAATTAAGTCATTAAGAGGACGTTAAACTTGTCACGGTTGGCTTGGGATAAATTGGTTGGTACGTTAGGCCACGCCCTATCGTCACGTGCAGGCGAGGCAGTCACGTGATGAAATCGCTAGTCACGTGCCCAACTGGACGAGGTGAGCTGCTGTTGAAATTGAGGCTTAACCGTTACAATTTAATCCGTCGCAATCCTTACAATAAACCATTAACACAGTTATGTTTTATCATACATATTTGATATTAGTGACCTTGCAATAGTAGTTAAGTTTTCATATATATTTTTTATATTTGCATAAATGTAAATATGCGATATTAATGGTAGGATACATTCCCTCAGGATTTTGAAGAACGGGAGGCCTGTATCGGTTGGGGGGGGGCATTCTTTTAGCCATCCCGTCGATATTACAGGTTTGATATATATGTACACTTATTTGTTATTAGTTTTATAGTTTTCAAATATGTACGATAGTGTGCAAATGTTATAGTATCAAATAGTTATTGATCATTTGCAGTGTTAATATTGTAAAATGTTGAGCCGCCATTATTGAGGCCTATTTGCTTAGTTGGAACCTGCCTCTTTGAATATCTAAGTGACACATTGTTATGTATTTGCTTAATTGATCAATAATTAATAGTATTATAAATTCTAGTTATGATAAGCACCGTAATGATTCTCAGTTGTCTTTCAGACAGCTCTGTCTTCACCTGAGGACGGCTGCTTGTGTTGTGGCCAAAACGTGATAATTTTATTTTTATAATTTTATTATTTCCCTTCTACGTGACTTTACCGAAAAAACCAAGAAGATGATTCTCAGTACTGTTTACGATCCTAGTATTAATCGGAACGGGGCTATGTTATAAATATTGTATAAGTATGGTAATCTGGAATAAGCATATTGTAAATCGTAGTTGGATAGGTTATGTAAATACTAGGATAATGATGGTAATACAAATAATAGGTAAAATAGCTGTATTTATCATAGTTAAGTTAGGAAAAGCATAGTATAATGGATAGTTATGATTAGTATGATATAAATGGTTGAAATAAGTATAGGGAGTTTTTATTATTAAAAAAATGTTTACAATCGTGATACTCTTAGGTTTTTTCGGTAAAGTCACGTAGGTAAAAAATAAAATTTAAATTAATAAAAGTAAGAATAGAAATAAAATAATAAATCACGACGTTTCGGAGGCGACACAAGCTTCTGTCTTCAGGTGGAACCGTCACAGCACGATTGCTGTATCAAGTACCAAGAAGATGACTTGATACAGCTATCGTGCTGTGACGGTTCCACCTGAAGACGGAAGCTTTTGTGTTGCCTCCGAAATGTCGTGATTTATTATTTTATTTATATTATTACTTTTATTAATTTTAATGTAATTTTTTTACCTATGAGACTTTACCGAAAAAACCTAAGAGTATGAATCCTTGCAGTCACGAAAGCTTCAAATCTAGAATACAATAGTGATGCCAGCACGTCGATATTACAGGTCCGTTGGCGTAGCTGGGAGCCGGACGAAACGCGTTCCTTCGGAGTGGGCAGGTAGGAACTTGGTTGGACAGCGCATTCATGCACGACAGACAAATATGCACGACAGACAGACAAATATGCACGACAGACAGACAAATAATCCCTGGTGGGCAGTGTGGAACCTGTTGTTCCTACCTGTATAACAAGATAACTTAAGGTAGCCAGGCAGCCAGCCAGGTAGCCAGCCCCCTTAACTATCGGCCCCTCCCCCTTGCTTAGGCCCCTCCCCTGACCCCCCCCTCCCTCAGGCCACTCTGCTGACCCCCCCTCCCTTACGCCCCTCACCTGACCACCCCCCCATATCCTTAGGCCCCTCCCCTGACCACCCCCATATCCTTAGGCCCCTCCCTTGACCCCCGTCCCTTAGGCCCCTCCCCTGACCACCACCCCCATATCCTTAGGCCCCTCTCCTGACCCCCCCTCCCTTAGGCCCCTCCCCTGACCACCCCCCCCCATATCCTTAGGCCCCTCCTTTGACCCCCCCCCTCAGGCCCCTCTCCTGACTGCCCCCTTCCTTAGGCCCCTCCCCTGACCCTCCCTTAGGCACCTCCCCTCTCCGTACCCGGCAGTAGGTCTCCACAAATCAAAGAGCTGTTTATATATATATTTATGCACGACAGACAGACAGACAAATAATCCCTGGTGGGCAGTGTGGAACATATTGTTCCTACCTGTATAACCCAATTTTGAACCCTCGTCAACCTCTCGGAAAGGATTGCCACCAAAACTTAAATTTCATCACTTATTGATGACCTCACTGTGTCCTCGATAACGATCACAGCCAGGAAAGAACGAGGCACAATGGGCACGGGTCACAGCAAGAATCCATTATGCTAATTGTGTGTATGTTGAACTTCTTTTGCACTGTACAATCGTGCTAATCAGAGGTGCGGGGGAAGGACAAACTTAACACAAGCAGTTCTAAAGAAATTAGTTTTAATTATAGATTTAAAAGCGCATACATTCAGTGGCTTCCTGATATTGAAAGGAATAGCGTTCCACACGGCTGCAGAAGCCACATCTGAAAGCGTGCAATGCGGTGACAGTCTTTGTTCAATGGCCAGTCTAAAGCCGCCACTGCTGCGAGGATGGACTTGAGTTTGCGTCAATAGATAAATAAGTAATATAAAAAAACTTTTTTAATAACACGCTTTTATGAAATGTACGAGTAATGGCAGAACTCCACGACTCCAGGAAGTGGCCCCGAAGCTTGCCATAACGTAAGGTACAGTGGCCAATTACAACCAACGTCAGTTGACCGTGAACAATTAGACCCAAGCCTAAACATAATATATATTTTTATGATAGAATATGGTATTGTCATCAGTATGACATAATCATAGCAAGTTTGCAGTCGATACCACATTGGGAAGTGGGTTAAAATTTAGTAACAAGATTTGAGGATACAACAACGACAAACTGAGTTAAAAGAAAGCGTGTAATAAAGGCATTGAGCTTACACTTGACTCCACTCGGAGAGAGAGCAGGTTGACCCCGTCACGGCCCCCTGTATCACCGTGGGGACTGCAGCCGCCTCAGCAAAAAACGACCGGGAGGTGGGAAGGGCACAGCACATGGAGTGCCGTGGTCCTCAGAACATGGGGTTACCAGGGTCATCGGTGCTGATCCTGGATCGTGAGCTGAGCTGTTCCTGGGGCCGCTGCAAAGGGTGAGAACTCGGAAGGCCACGATGAGTCTCATTTTGCAAGAGTGACCCGGGGAAACGAATTTGTTAGTAGTGGCCAATGATCGCTGCTGTGTACTGGAGTGTCATTTGAATATTTAGCAGTGTATTTTCGAATTTGTCAAATTTGGACCATGATTGCTGGCACGTGATGGCCTGCTCCTGCAAATGACGTCATGGAATCTTTCATGTCCACTGTGAGTGAAGCAGACAGTGCGTAGTGATACTTTGGATATCACACACCGAAGTGCTAACCAGGGCGGCCAGCCGATTCAAATCGCAAACCTTGGCAACGAGTGGTGAGCGCGCTACTTCTGGGCGATGTCACAATCCAAAGAGTATGACCACTGAGATGGAGCAATTAAATCATGCTCGTGTTCCATCACCAGATCGAGAAAGATTGAGATGGTTTGGGGGAGGCCTTTTTCCGGCAGTGGAATGGCCATGGAGGATGAAGTCACATCAAACTTGCAGCCACTAGCGCTGCAACCATTCAAGGTGATATTTAAGAAATAACTAGCTTGTTTGCCCATTCTAGGACCGAAGCTGTAATATTTATGAAAAGATTGAGCAGAGTGTAATTGTATTTTGTGTAAATTTATTGTCAGTGAATCTTGCACAAAAGGATGTCATCAAACACTTCACTGCATTTCATTGTAGCACTGCATTAATGGCAGTGATTCTTGCACAAAACTGTCATAAAACACCTCACTTCATGTCACTTGCACTGTATATAACTGACCTTCAATTTGTTAAAATTCGCTGCTTTGATGCTTTAATCTCTTCTGCTTTCGGTCACGGGTTGAAATAAATAGGAATTCGATACAATATCTGGAAAATCACCGAGAAATTTATATTTTACCATAATGTAGAAATAAGAAATAACACCAAATCCACTTTGTTGCTGCGTAGAATTGTTTATTAGATTCACTTTCAATAAATAGATGTCAAACTTGAAGCGAATTTGCGATTTTTTTAAAATTTCTGCTCGACCCTTTGCGCGAGTGTAAAAATCCACCCACTCATGAATATTAATGGCGGGGGGGGGGTTGCGGTATGTAGAGTGACGTCACACGCGTTACACACAAACATAGGAGTAATTCTTAGATTCGCAACCCCAAATTGCTCTAATTAATCGAATTTCTAAGGAGTGGATTGTCACCCCCATACCGATGGTGGAGCCAACACGGAGTAACGGAAAATTGTGTCAGTTCAGCATCATAGTGATGATGGGCCACTCGGTGACTTCGAAACCAGGGGTGAGGTCAAATGGCCCCAAGGCAGGAAGTTGAAAACTTAGTCTTCCTTTTGTTACCAATTGAGAAACCAGGGCCATGTGAACGTAGAGTATAAATAAACAAAACCAACATTTTTTTTATTTTACCAGGTAAGGCCCACTGAGATATATCTTTCTTTTTCAGAAGCCATCTGGGCAAAAAATGATAGCTCAACGAAGTGGCTTATGGTGTTCACATTTATAGCAACCAAATACTTAAGAATCACTGCACCAGATTGAATTAAATGATAACGTCACCCTGCTGCTGCTCTATTTAAGACCGGGAGCAACAGGAGAGCTTCACCATTCTTGCCCGATGAAGCTGATTGTAATTACCAGCGAAACGTCATACTCAAATTTTAAAATGCTGTTGATTCTCTCATCAACACACCAGTGGGCTAAATAAGTGAATTATTTTGTCCTTTGAAAAACGTGACACATTTTTTACTGTTTGGCCGTGTTGGGTGGTGGAGGGTTACGACACATTTATAAATAACGCGATCTGACCCAAAAACCTATGTTATGAATAATATTGGTTGCGAAAGCCTACGTGTTAAACAAATACTTTAAATGCATATTTCTAATTTGTCGAGGGAAAAACCGGAGGACCCCTAGAAATAACCATACAAGCACAAGGGGAGAGAGACATGCAAACTCCAGGCGCCTGGGTCGGGATTGAACTTACAACCTCCTGCATACCAAGCGAGGTAGTAAACATATCATCATCGTGGCACTCTCGCCTACGTGGCACCCAAATGAAAGCATTGTAGGCGCCCGTGAAAAATAGGGTGCACGAGTGAGCTCAGACCCTAGCCTGGGACGAAGGGCCTTTCCGGGAATGAAATACAGATCGTGTTTCTGTTTGCGGTATTGACAAGTGTGAAGCCGCAGCATAATCTATGAAGAATGCAGTGTTTAACAGAAGTGCCAAGACTTTGTAATTACATTTCAAATAAAACCATTGTTTATTTTTTTCATAACTGGGATTACAGTACATTTCTCTGTGTTATATTTACATGTCTATCAGCATCTGTGGTTTTGTGTATGTGTGCGTGTGTATGTAGGTAGTGGATCGCACCCTGCGCTATGGACCCAGTTACCAGAATTTCAGTACCACTGACGGTCAACAGTCCTGGGTCTTCCGTGGGTCGACTCAAACTCAGGTGAGAGATCTGGTGCGACATGCAAAGATCGTCACTTGGCAAACAAAGGTGGCCGGGAATGGTCACCCAGTCCATTGTGTACCATGCCGGCCTTGCCCCAACAGTTTAGCACCTCGGCTTTTGGGTGAATTTATAAATAATTGGAAAAAAGGCGTTACTGGGAGGGTTTGTCGGGGAAGCGAGTTGCCGTGCATGACTACTTCCTCTTGAATTTAAATGTCATCTTCTTGAAAGCAGCCTTCATGTTGCTGTGCAGCTTCTTTGCATTTTCTTATTCGCCAGTAAACAGATCCATGTTAAAGTAGCAGCGAGTAGTGGAGAGTGGCCTCATTGCTGACGCCACACAGTGTCGGAGCAGAATCACAACACCACTTGACGAGCCTTTGTCGTTAACACAGCCTTGACAGTGCCATGCGGTGGACCCTTGAGCAGTGACTAATTCATACAATTGGCGGTAGCAGTAAAATCATCATCGTGCTGCCAAATCCCTAATGGTTTCAAATGTGTGGCGGCCCTCACACTGATGATGTCTTATGGTTCCCTCTGGAAATTAATGAAGAACACTCTGTTATGTATATATTATATATACATAACAGAGTTATGTATATATAGTATATATAATACAAATTATTTTATATATAGTATGTTCCTAGGGGAGATGTCACAGACAGGGGTACTTGTGAAGTCACTTCAGGAGGTGTCTTTATGTAGTGACATGATGTCACTACTGTATCGGGTCTGTATACACATGACGTCACTGCTATGTTGGGTCTGTACACGTGACGTCACTGCCTGTTCGGTATGGAGGCTGTTAATGGGTGCCACGGGGATTGTGTCAGGCCGTGGCACTCAGAGTGACCCCGGCTGGGCACGTGACCGGATCTAGCAGGTGGCCAGGGGGCCTGGGGGACCCTGGGGATCATGTGGTCGGGGAGTGGAGCCTTCTCGTGGGTTCGAGAAGGGGGGCGTGGCCAGGCTGTGGCCGGCCACGCCAGAGAGGCTGATAAGCGGGCTTAGCGGGGAGAACTGGACTGTTGGTGCCTGGGATGAGGTCGTCTCATGAAGACTCTGAAGAAAGAAGTCTCCAGTCATCGTGGCCAAGCAGAAGCTCTCCTGGCTTGGCCACGCCAAGTAGTACCCGAGTGTTAGCAAAAATAGGACGGTGGTCACCACCTTATGTAGGGTGTGTTGCATTTGTGTTGCAGTTGTGTTAAATAAATAGTGTTGCCTCCACACGAGTGTAAGCACCTCTCGAACCATTACATTTATTCACAACAGGGGCACACCTTTGATATCCCTTATAAATATAGTTTGTGGAATGTCACATGTTTTGGAGTTGGGATAAGCCACGTTATTTATTAGGATGGTCTGTTTTTCAACTATTGAAACTGGAAACTTGCTATATTTGAGACCTCAGTTTAATCACAGATGGCGAGCAAGGTCTTCAAACTTTCCTTTTGTTAACTACCTCGCCTGGGTTCGATCCCGACCCTGCATATTCTCCCGGTGGTTGTGTGGATTTTTCTCCGGGTCCTCCAGTCTTTCCCTCCACATTTAGAGACATGCGTTTAGAGTATTTGGCTGCTATAAATTTCCATGTGATAAGCCACTTTGTTGATTCTGAAAAAGAGCTAGGTAGCTCAGTGGGCCTGAACTGATGAAATAAATAAATGGTTTATAGTTTAGTTTGAATGCAATGAAACAATATTCTTGAACCAATTACTTTCACTAAAATAATTTGCAAAACAACGTAAAATATGTGTCATGGTCACTCCACAGACAACGCGCTCACAACACAATACCTTGGCAAATGGACTAACACGTACACCAACTTGTAATAAATATGCAATGCAAAGGTCTAGAAGCATGGTCCTTATAGACAGAATACAGATTGGAGCACACACTCAGGTTAAAGATACCATTCCGCCTGTTAATAAGTAATATTTTTAAAAAACTTTTTAAAAAACACGCTTTTATGAAATGTACGAGTAATGGCAGAACTCCACGACTCCAGGAAGTGACCCCGAAGCTTGCCATAACGTAAGGGACTGTGGCCAATTACAGCCAACGTCAGTTGACCGTGGAAAATTAAACCCAAGCCGAAACATAACATTTAAAAAAGGATGTTTAAAAATATAGATGTGTTATGATAGAATATAGTATTGTCATCAGTAAGACATAAGTATACCAAGTTTGCAGTCGATACCACATTGGGAAGTGGGTTAAAATTGAGTTACAAGATTTGAGGATACAACAACAACAACAACAAAAGACGAGTGAGTTAAAAGAAAGCGTGTAAAATAGTGGTGTTTCGGAGGCCTGATGATAAAGGCCTTTGCAAGACCCTAGAATTGAAATGTGAGTGGGAAGGAATTAGTGGGGACATGATGCCTCTTTCTTGGTGTGGGTTGCGAATTTGATGAGCTATAAAGCTCTTTTCATAGATGTCCAGTAGGACATCTGTGCCATGCTAAGTGCACCTTCAGGCCTGCGAAGTGTCAAAGGCTTGTAGCCAGTAGGTCATGGAACAGACCCAGGTGCCATGGGATTGACTGACTGAGATGACTGGCAGATGCACACGTAACACACTTCTCTCACCTGACTTCACTTTCTTGTGGTGCGTGTTATTGTGGCCATTTCTGTTCCCATCTGCGTTGCCGCTGGTCCCTGGATCAGAGGACCTCCATAAACCACCCGCCTGGCGCCGCTTCTGCATCGTCCACGGCCCTCGGCTGCAGCATTACACATGGGTAAAGTGCGGTGAGGCCTTCCAAGATGTTTGTCCGGAGCCATGGTGGCTTGTCTTCCCTGTTCATGGGACTGGCTTCACTGGCATCATCTACAGTCTGTGCTGGAAAGCTGCCATAGAGCACAAAAAGAGAAGCAGAAGAAGATGGTTTAGACATTGAAGGTTTCACCCACCAGAATGCAGCGTACAGCGCTTGTGCACTCAAGGCTTTCTAGGTTCCTGCACAATGTTCTTACCTTCCAAGCTACGATTACGACACACATACCTCGACATTGTCTCAGAAAGATGGATATGCATTTGAAGATTCTTTAGTTATTTTTTTCATCACTGCCTTGTGGTAGGTGTAGAGATATCATAGTGTGAACTGATACTGCTGAGATCCTAATTTATACGCCAGGTAGCTGATTCATCTTCTTGGTTCTTTCGTGACTTTACCGACTTTACCGAAAGAACCAAGAAGATGAATCCCTGCAGTCACGAAAGCTTTAAATCAAAGGTAGCTGATTGAGATAAAACTGGGCTTTAAAGTGAAGCGAGTTTGTTTTAATTAAATCCTAGTTCTGAGAGTTATGTGATGGAAGTCATATATGTTTCCATGGACCATTGTCTAACATGGGGTGATGCTGCAAGAGAATGGGCATGGATGAATAATTTTGGAGCATGATGCTTAATGCACATGAGTTAATTGTATCATCGATGAAGCTTGAAAATGTGTGCCAGACTGCAAACGACACGTCAATTAGTTGTGTGTAGCTACTAGATAAGAGCTTTTTGTTTCAGTTTGTTTTTCTTCAAGTCGCTTTAACATGAGGGACTGACTTTTCCAAATTTTCCCCAAAAAGTTATTTCTGCAATGATATTTTTTTGTGACGATAGGCCCACAGTGATGACATCACCTTTATTGCGTTATTGAAGAACAAAACACGAGGATGTCTTCACAATTCTGGCTATTGACTGATGAAGCTGGTTGTAATCAGCGAAATATTGTTCTCCAATGGTAAATGTTGTGGGTTTACTCCAAAACACTGGTGTGCTGAAGTAGTCACGTACTGGAACAAACCTTGGCTGTGTGGGGTAGTGGTGGGTTTAACAACACATTTATATTTATTCAATCTATCCCAAAAATACCTTTATTATGGACATTGCTTTATATGCGGGGTAGATAGGGAGGGGTGTGACATGTGAACTCGCCTAACAAAGCGCCATTATAGAAGCCTTGCACCAAGACACAGCGATCAGCCCCATGGAACGCAGAACGGCCATCATAACGGTCTTGTAGACTGCGTCCACAGACAAGGAAGGAGCAAACCACATTCAGCAAGTTAACCCCAGTAAAATATCAACAAAATATCAACTCTCATTTCTAATTAGTGAGGGTTAGGGACTTACAAAGTTAGGGTTTGGAGTTGGGGCTATGTTAGGGTTTAGAGTTACAGATAGGGTTTGGAGTTAAGGCTAGAGTAGGGTTTGGCAACTAAAATAACAGCCATTTTTGTCGAATTCGTAAAAATATTTTTCAATGCACATGAATACGAGATGGTATTTAATAAATAACTTTATGACGCAATTCTTTAAGGGCCACATACCTTTCCTGAGCCACAGGTTTCCAACCCCTGTGGGACAGGGATAATGATATTTTTGGATTGCACTCTCATGTTCACGTCCTTTGGATTGCACTCATGTTCACGTCGTTTGGATTGCTCTCTCAGGGTCCTAATCTGTCATTGACACTGCTGTTGTGCGCATATGCGGGCATGATACTCTTATGCAGAGACGGAAGCTCATGCTAATCTCCCTCCCTAATCCCTCTCTCCCTAATATCCCCCATTAACAAATCTGAAGTGCTTGCGTCCGTGGATGGAATTCCTTTCCAGCTCAGACCCCGCTTGCTTGCCAATCGCCACATAAATTAACTGTGTTGTAACTGCTCTCTTGCTGGTTCAGCAGTTACACTGCTGGATTATATTTTTTCCGCCTGAGGACGACCGCTTGTGTTGCGATCGAAACGTTGTGATTTATTTTATTTTATACCTACGTGACTTTACCGAAAGAACCAAAAGAGTATGGATTCCTGCAGTCACGAAAGCTTCAAATCAAGATTGATAATGATATTCTTATTACCTGGAGGTTTTTGGGCCACGTTAGGTGCCTGAAGGATGGCCGTGGTGCTGGTTTGAGTGGAAGTCATTGTGGTTGTCACGCTGCGCATGCGCTTGATCCAACCAAACATTCCCATCGCAGGCTCTGCTCCTGAATGACCAACCGGCAGAACCAATACGTCGTAGGGATAGGTATCTGTTGTGTCTTGACCCTCCAGAGCAACCCCGGACTCACTCCTTAATCAGACCAGAGGCAGAGAAGCTTCAACATGAACGAGTGCTTTACTGAACGACTCCGGGAAGTGGCCCCAAACCCCAGGGACAGCGGTCCTTTATACAGTGAGGGAAAAAAGTATTTGATCCCCTGCTGATTTTGTATGTTTGCCCACTGACAAAGAAATGATCAGTCTATAATTTTAATGGTAGGTTTATATGAACAGTGAGAGATAGAATAACAACAACAAAATCCAGAAAAACGCATGTCAAAAATGTTAAAAATGGATTTGCATTTTAATGAGGGAAATAAGTATTTGACCCCTCTGCAAAACATGACTTAGTACTTGGTGGCAAAACCCTTGTTGGCAATCACAGAGGTCAGACATTTCTTGTAGTTGGCCACCAGGTTTGCACACATCTCAGGAGGGATTTTGTCCCACTCTTTGCAGATCTTCTCCAAGTCATTAAGGTTTTGAGGCTGACATTTGGCACTCGAACCTTCAGCTCCCTCCACAGATTTTCTATGGGATTAAGGTCTGGAGACTGGCTAGGCCACTCCAGGACCTGAATGTGCTTCTTCTTGAGCCACTTCTTTGTTGCCTTTTGCCGTGTGTTTTGGGTCATTGTCATGCTGGAATACCCATCCACGACCCATTTTCAATGCCCTGGCTGAGGGAAGGAGGTTCTCACCCAAGATTTTACGGTACATGGCCCCGTCCATCGTCCCTTTGATGCGGTGAAATTGTCCTCTCCCCTTAGCAGAAAAACACCTCCAAAGCATAATGTTTCCACCTCCATGTTTGACGGTGGGGATGGTGTTCTTGGGGTCATAGGCAGCATTCCTCCTCCAAACACGGCAAGTTGAGTTGATGTGTGTTACCAACTGTTTTATTGGTGACTGGTCCCAGCTGCCTTGAGATCATTGACAAGGTCCTCCCGTGTAGTTCTGGGCTGATTCCTCACTGTTCTCATGATCATTGCAACTCCACGAGGTGAGATCTTGCGTGGAGCCCCAGGCCGAGGGGAGATTGACAGTTCCTTTGTGTTTCTTTCATTTGCGAATAATCGCACCAACTGTTGTCACCTTCTCACCAAGCTGCTTGACGATGGTCTTGTAGCACATTCCAGTCTTGTGTAGGTCTACAATCTTGTCCCTGACATCCTTGGAGAGCTCTTTGGTCTTGGCCATGGGGGAGAGTTTAGAATCTGTTTGATTAATTGTTTCTGTGAACAGGTGTCTTTTTATACAGGTAACAAGCTGAGATTAGGAGCACCCCCTTTAAGAGTGTGCTCCTAATCTCAGCTGATTACCTGCATAAAAGACACCTGGGAGCCAGAAATCCTTCTGCTTGAGAGGGGGTCAAATACTTATTTCCCTCATTAAAATGCAATTCAATTTATAAAATTGTTGACATGCGTTTTTCTGGATTTTTGTTGTTATTCTGTCTCTCACTGTTCAAATATACCTACCATTAAAATTATAGACTGATCATTTCTTTGTCAGTGGGCAAACGTACAAAATAAGCAGGGGATCAAATACTTTTTTCCCTCACTAGTTTCTAGCAAAGTTTGACATAACGTTAGGGACCGCGGACAATTACACCCAAACAACGAAATATAACATATCTTCCCCCTTAAATGGTAATGTCCACATTAACACAAACAACAACTTTATCTAACTTGGAAGAGAGTGTAGGCAGCCTCAACATTCCGCTAAACCCAAATGGGATTATTCTGCCCCTCGCTTCCACGGTTAGCACTAACTATAACGTACTGAAAGTTTTCTTTCTCTGGGTGGATTGCGCCGCAACACCGGAACAGGCTCAGGTGTAGATGTAGGCTCAGGCTGAGCCTCAGGTGTACTTGGACGATTGGGCTCTGTTGGCAGTGGTGTAGAAGGGGCTGGCGTAGGTGCTGACATGTTCCAGTAGGGTGTCAGCTCACTTGTGAAGGTAAACGCTGGCGTATTTACTTCAGAGTTTGTAGCCGCAGGTTCATGAGGAAGTAACTGGTCGACATGGTCTCCTTCAGGTCTTGTTGTCTTGGGTGCTGACTTTGTATGAGACAGGTCCAGTCTTTTGAAGAACAGTTGCAGGAACCCACTTTTCCTTAGTGGTGTAGTTCCGTTCATAGACAGGATCTCCAACAAAGAACTTTCTGTCCTTAGACCGCCTTGCTCGTACATTGACTTGATCTTGCTGGGTGTTGGTCTCAATAGATCAAGGCGAGTCCGGAGCTGTCTTTTCATGAGTAGGTAAGCAGGGGACGTTCCAGTTATCGCATGCGGAGTGTTGCTATACTTGAGCAGGAAAGTGTCGAGTCGCAGCTTCAGTGGTGCCTCCCTTCTGGGTGCTTTTAAAGCATGTTTGATTGTCTGAACCATTCTCTCTGTAACTCCATTAATAGATGGATGTGCTTGATTCCATTGTTCTGTAGGAAAATTCTGCATTCTTTAGATGCAAAAGATGGCCCATTGACCGTGACTATCTGCTCAGGCAGTCCCTAGACCATCCAAAAACATCTCCCTCAGAATCTCGAAGGTCTTCCCCGATGTTACGGTGGACATGACTGAGACCTCTGGCCACTTGAATGGGCGCCATCGGCAACCAGCAACATCATTCCTTCCACTGGTCCTGCAAAATCTAGGTGAACACGCTGCCACGGGCTCGCTGGCCAATCCCAAGGATGCAGTGGGGGCCAAGGTTGGCATGTTTCTGTTGATTTTACATGAAGTGCAGGATTTGGCTGTGGCTTACAATAACCTGGTCTAGCCCCAGCCACCAGAAATAGCTATGCGCTAATTCTTTCATCCAGACTATTCCACAATGTCCAGAGTGCAGCTCATCCAGGACAAGTTTCCTCAGCTTTGGCGGTATAATGACAAGCATACCCTACAGTAGGCATCCCGCAGTCACCGTCAACTCGTTTCCCCGAGAAAGGTAAGGTCGTAGATCAAGCGGCGCATCAGAGAACCGTGGCGGGGTCACTTCTCATCACTCGGTCGAACACTCTGGACAGTGTTGGATCTCCCTTTGTTTCCTTAGTTGATTTTGTTGAAGCGGTCCAAGGTGTGTTCTCTACCATATCGAAGTAGAAAACCTTCAATTCGCTACTTTTAAGGCAGTCAGGCAGAGGAAGTCGTGACAAGCCATCAGTGGTTGGTGTGTTCTTCAGACCTTGGAAACTTGATGTCTAGTTGTGAGCACTCAGGAGAGTGGCTCAACACTGCAGTCTTGCTCGCTGCAAGAGTGGTATTCCAGAGTACAGACCAAATATGGAAGTCAGAGGACGATTGTCCCGTCAGCAAGGTGAATCTCCATCCAAACAAGGAGGAATAACACTTTTTGATTCCGAATTCCCAACGCTTTTTCCATCTGCAGGTATTTCACCTCTGCTTTGCAGAGCGTCTTTGACGGCGAACGCAATGGGCCTTTGTTTTCCAGCAGGTGTGATGTGCAACAAACAGCCCCCAACTCCATATGGAGAGGCATCGCATGCAAGTTGAATTGGCAAGGACGGGTCCGAAGGTGAGTTAAACATGCAGTCGCTGCTCCCCCCCCCCCCCCACCCCGTAGGTGGGGCCCCAAACCATGGTTGCGGCTGTAACCTCGCTCGCAAGCTGCTGCTGCTGAGGTTGTGTGTATGCGACCTATTGCATAGGATTGTCGAGCGCCGACTTGACCGGCTGATCTATTTTTTGAATATAACTTGCGTTATATTAAAATAAATTAAAACAACTAAATTAAATCACGACGTTTCGGGTGCAACACAAGCGTCCTTCAGGTGGGGGACAACGTAGCGAAAGCATAGCCGCTTAAGTGTCTAAGAGATGGCTGTGAGAGGAATTATATAGTCACGGGGATGGAGGGAGGGGAGGGCCCTGGTGAGTGTGTGGGCGGGTTGTGGACTGGAGGCAACATTGGAAGTACGGGGGGGGGGGGAACATTGTGAAGTACGGGGTGGGGGGGGGGGGGGTAACGCTGACTTTACCCACTGCACTGGCCGAGGGATAACCCCAACTGTCGGTCAGTCAGGTAAAGAGCCACATCCGAGCTCCATGTTAGATGTCCCCTACCCTAGTCCCGACTTCCACCCTTCACATTCCCGGACTCTCCTGACGACCTTGTTCGCGTCACGGGTCCCAGCCTAAAACCCAGAGAGACATGACGTCACCGTTCGTGACATCGTACCGGAGAGCGTGGCATGACATGACGTCATAACTACTACTCTATAGACATACGAAAATAAAAAAAGTTTTTATGTATGTAAAAGTATTTGTGTATGAATGAAACTTGTTTTGGAGAATAAAAACGTAAAAATTCTAAATAAGCAATGAACTGGAACCCAATGATGGACCACATAATGCCATGTGGTCTCCGTCTCTTTAATGGAGGAATAACAGGACATTGCATAAGTCTTTTTCTGAATCCCTTTCGTTCGCCAAGCAGACCTGAACATTGACATTTAGCTCTCCAAAAGTGGCACATGCAAGAAAACAAACAGAAAAATGTATTTAATTGTAGTTAACATTTATTTCGTGCCTTTTTTCAGTTTTCAGTCTCATTGATTTGGTATAGCCCTGTGAGGCATGTGGCTCTTGACTTTGAGGTGCACCCGCAACAAACAAAAACATGAACAAACAACACCTTAAAGTGACGACGCGCACAGAAACATCCAGGAAAAACAGCAAAATCTTCCAGAAAAAACACCGTATATCAACGCTGCGGCATGGATGAAGTGGAGGCAAGTAACCGGA